ATCTAGACCGATTTTCTCTAAACTTGGCAGACATCACTCAACGCTCACTTCAGTACGTTATGCCAAATTTCGTGCAAATCGAAAGCTGTTTAGGGACTTTGGGCACCATTTACCTTAAATCGAACCAAAATATATATGGGAGCTATATCTAAATCTGAACCGATTTTTTCTCAATTTCAATAGGGTTCGTCCTTGGGCCAAATGAATGAGCTCTGCCAAATTTCATCCAATTCGAATAATAAATGCGAGCTGTACTTTGTTTACAATTTAACATGGTCGGACGGACATGCGTAAATCGACTTAGAAAGTGATTCTATGCATATTCTCAAAAGGAACCATGGGTCTATCTCGATTCCTTTTGCCTGTTACAAACATATGTACAAAGACGTAATACCCTGTACCAAAGTGTGATGAAGGGTATAAAAATAGTCCTCAGATTTAACCCGAATATTGCTGTAATTATTTTTTTCGAATTGTGGGACGAAACATTCAGCGTCTCTAGATTGTGGGCCACTGAATTCCAAAATTTTATTTGTATCCTTTTTTCTTATCAGGATAATAGACAGGATCAATTTTTGGGCTGTGGCCATATTTTCACACTAGCACTGCTCGGGTACAGGTTTTTTAGATGATTTATTGATCGTGTTATGAGTGTGACCATATGGTCACGCTAGCACAGCTGATTTTTTTCTATAAAAATTTTAACCCAAGGATCTGAAGTTCAATTCCTAAGATATTGTTGCTACTATTTAAAATCAGTGTTCGAAGATACAGAGTTTCTTTGGACATTGAGAATTCATAGTTTCAAAAATTTTAAGCCCTAAAGGTTCACCTGAGGAAAAGATTTACATAGGGTTTGAGAAATAAGTTTTAAGGATTTAGGGAAAATTTTTGGGCTCCAAAGCCTGAGAAATATGTTCCATAGGCAAAATCTGTCTGTCAGAGATTGAAGGTTTCTTCATAAATAAAAGAAATTAGTCCAGGGGTAAACTTTTTTCTATAAAAAAATAATTTGCGGAGCCTGAAAGTATACAGGTACGTTTAGATTTACGAAATCCACTCGATTCTAAATGTCAATTCCAAAGCGAATACCTCAAATATAATATACTGGATTTGTTGACAGGATTAACGTGACGTATACGCAATGGAATTGACGTTTGAGATCGAGTGGAATTAGTAGTCTAAACGTAGCCTACGTCTATAAAAAATTTCCAAAATTGCCTAAAATTTTATATATAATATTTCAACAGAGGTCCTCCTTCGGATCGAAATTTCAGAAAAGAAATTTATAATTTTTCTTTTCCTCTATAAACACTAAAATGCGTTTACATTGTACCGGATTTCGTTAACCCCAGTGGGTTTAAAAAACTATGTTTCCAGAACTCAATTCCCTTATCAGTATCGAAGTTTACGAAATTTTCGCTTATAAGGTTTTTATGATTATTATTCAAAGTTCTTTGTATGGTTCATGAATGGGTTTAAAAAGACTTGTTTCCAGAACTCAATTCCCTTATCAATATCGAAGTTTACGATATTTTCGCTTATAAGGATTTTATTATTATTATTCAAAGTTCTTTGTATGGTTCATGGATGTACAACTGTTCCCGACCTTATTGCAAATATTTTGTACTTCGATTCGTCTGTGGGCAAAATTTGTTTCCAGAAGTCAATTAATTGCCTTATCAATATATTTTTGGTGAATAGGATCTTCATGTCTCTGATCCAATTCCATGAAGAAATGTCATCTGAATGATATTGAAGGTAATAGCAAGGAGATTTTTATTTCTTTCGGAATTTGATAGACTTTTAATTGTAGATCATAGTGAATAATCCTGTAATGGTCTCTCACAGATAATAGTCTGTTGAATCAAATCTGAACATAAAAATAACATGAACATTAATATGCCGTCTGGACCAAGGGCTATGGGTGGCTATCAGTGGATGTGAATGATAGGGGCTCCAAGTCTCTTATAAGATTGTTGAACTTTTAGGTAGCCTGATCTTGTTCTGTGAAGATAGATGCGCCATGAATTGGCGGCAGAAATTGAAGGAAATATCAGGGAGATTTTTATTTCTTTTGGTTCCATAGCTGTATTTTGTTTTTGCCAAACTATAGCTCAATCGTCTCCTCCAAATATATTGTACTTCGATTTGTCTGGGAACAAATCTTTTTTTCCAGAAGTAAATTGCTTTATCAATATATTTTTGGGGGCATTCCAATTGAAATGTACGATATTTCAGTTTATAAGTGTTTTTATTTTTAGGGGTTCGTTTGGGGAAACCGTTCTTATTCAAAGTTCTTTGTATGGTTCGTGGATGTACAACTGTTCCCGACCTTATTGCAAACTATATTGTACTTCGATTCGTCTGTGAGCAAAACTTATTTCCAGAAGTCAATTCCCTTATCCATATATTTTTGGGGAATTTCAATCAAATATTACGATTGCGGAAACCGTCATTAATAAAGGTTCTGTGTGTGGTTCGTGGATGTACAACTGTCCCGGACTTTATTTCAAATATATTGTACTTCGATTCGTCTGTGAACAAAACATGTTTCCACAAGTCAATTCCCTTATCCACATATTTTTGGGCGAATTCCGATTGTGGAAACCCTCATTATTCTTCTGTGTATGGTTCGTGGGTGTACAACTGTTCCCGATATTATTGCAACTTTTTCCCGGCTAACTTTGTGGCATTCTCTTTCGGATTTTTACCCACTACTTTCAGAATTAAGCTGACATCTCTCCGATTAAGCTTCTTTGGTCGGCTAGTGCGCAGTTTGTTGACGATAGTACCAGTTTGATTGTAGTTATTAACTTCAGTTTAAATAGTTTATTTACTAAATTTTAATAATGTGTCTATTTTCCCTGGCGAATTTTTTCCGTTGTTGTGCTGAAACTATATTGGTGTGTGGCAAGAACAAAATACTGTTTCAGGAACGAATACCACGGGGATTCTAAAGTCTTGGCTACAGATGAAAGAAAAAAATCGGGCAGTAGGGTTCCCTATTAGTTCCACATTTATCAGGTTGTAGAGTTGGAATAATCCCGACAGCATTTCAAATATGAGGAAATATCAACTGTGGAACAGATAATTCGAGGACTTTTGGTCAGATTTGGAGATAATTTCCTCCAACTCATTGCATGTCTCGTTTAAGGTTCCTGAACTTCCGTATGGCTTGATCCTTTTATGTGAAGATGGAAGCTCGATGACTGCGACAGAATTGTAATGCGCCTTTTTACCCTCTGAATATGCTACTATGACTGCATGTGTATGATAGGGTCTTAAAGATTCTTTTCAGATTCATGCATTTCTGGATAGCTCAAGCTATCTATTGACTTGGATTTTGAGACAATTTTCTCCACTTCACGGTATATGCATGATTCGGTCTTCAAGTCTCTTTTCAGATACTTGAACTTCCGGATAGTGCAAGCAAATGAGCAGCCAGTTCCGCGAAGAAATGTGCAGAAGAACGGTGATGCACTTCTTTGTCATCTGAATAGGCTGAATTTTATTGAAGGTAATAGCAGGAAGATTTTTATTCCTTTTGTGAACTGATAGACTCTTAATTGTAGACCATAGTGAATTCTCCTGTAATTGTCTTTCACAATGTTGAATTAGACCTGAACATAAGAATACCATAGACCAAGGTCAATGTGTATAGGGGAATGAGGAGCTTCAAAGCCACTTTTAAGATCCTTCAACGTAGCTTGATCCTGTTCTGTGAAAATAGATACGCCATAAACAGCGGCTGAAATGTGATGTAATTTTTTGCCATCTGAATGTTGAATGTTATTGAAGGAAATTTTTGTCTTGGAAAAATTTGTGTAAAAATTATGAAGGAGACCTCTTTGATACTTTCTGGCTTAAGATAAGTTGATGTGCCTCTAAAAATATTTGAATAGCTCCTCTAAAATAAAGTAAAGACGGGAGCAACAAAAACTAGATACAATTAAAGAACCGGAACTAGTACTGATCGTTCCTTTTGCAAAATATAATCGTTGAACTATATCAATACGGGACGACCCGATTCTAGAATGAAGGAAGGGAGATCAACATTTGATGGCAATCGGAACATATAAAATTCCATTGATTTCCGCCTGCTGAACGATTGCATTAAAAGGACCAATAACAAGAAGGAACGACCGGGACAAAAGGAACTAGATAAGAGAAAGAAACGAATCTAGTTCCGATTGTTGCTTTTGCGAAATATTATATTTGAACTAATTCGTTCCGGAATGACCCGATTTTAGAATGAAGAAAGAGAGTTTAACATTTGGTAGCAATTGAAATTTTAGTCATCCCGTCAATCGAAATAACAAAAATTCCATCGCTTTCCCCTTGATGAACGATTGATTTAAAAGGGATGAGAAGAAAAATGAACGATTGAATTAACTAGATTATTGAAAGAACCGAACCTAGTTCCGATCGTTCCTTTTGTGAAACTAAATCGTTTGAACTAAATCGTTCCGGAACGTCGCAATTCTAGAATGAAGAAAAGGATATCGTTCTTTCAATTGAATTTTTAAACGTCCGTTCTTATCGGAATATCTAAAATTCTATCGATTTCAGCCAAAAAACGATATCGTCATGATTACAAATCTTCACAAATTCCTGCACAAGGAATCAAACTCTCTTAATTTTTTTCTACAATCCTGCGAAGCTAAACTCAGACATTCTCTACCATTTTCAGGATGTGTTATATGACCTGGAAATTCCATCGTCTACCCATTGTCTTGCTTTGCCTTTTGCAATTCTTTCTGCAAGGTATGCCGCTCCCTTCCTTCCTTTCACTAAATCGTTTCGGAATCGGAAACCTTTGTTCGCCACACTGGGTCAAATGTTCGTTTAGACTGTGGTGGGCTATTACCAACAATTATTTGCCAACACACTTACACATATTTTGCAATGTTGGTTACACACATATGTGTATCCGACATTTGAGGTTAAGTAGAACAAAAAGTTTATTAGTAATTTTTTACAACAACCGATATACTTACCATTGAAATTTTTTGGCGCACATTTCAGGGTTACATTTTCTCCCTCATGTGAAAAATAGACAACGTTTAGTTTATTTTCAAAATAGGGTCTTGTGGCTGCCGAAGTGTCTTTGGTTGGTGAGGACACATCGCCGTTGGTGGGAACCTCTGGTTCGCTATCATCGCTGTAATCGAATTCTGTGGAGGCAACATCTTGTTTTGATTTTTGTTGTTGTTGTTGTTGGTTTTCCACAGCATCGATGCCTGCAAAGGAAAGAATAAACAATGAGTTTTTTTGTTTGTTAAAAGAGAGACAAAGATAGTGAGGAAGAGAGAAGGGTGGGGAGCATCGGGAGAGAAGATAAGAAATAACAATGGTTTTTTTTCCAAAAGGATTTAGTTTTCCTTCTGTTGCAATTTTTATTCTTCTATTTCTGCTTAGGAAGGCAAAAAGAGCATTAGCAGCAAATTCCGAGATCTTTCTAAGGAGACCACGACATATGAGAAGTTTCGTTAACAAAAGCATCGGAGGAACAACACCAACAACAAAAATTATTAATCCATATTTTTTGGGGTGTGTGATGATGATGATGATGAATTGTCATGTGAGATGTGTGCAATACGAAGAACGCCAAGATATGGAATTTAAGGAAATCGAATGCTGACGATGACTAAGAAGGCAAAGGCAAAAAAATATGCAATTTTTTTCCTGACGTTGTTGTTCCATATTTTTTTTCTTGTGTGTTTAAAAAAAATGTATTCAAAAAAATCTCACACATTTTTATCCAAGCAAACAAGAAAGCGAACGAAGCCCAACCACTCATCGTCCATATGGATGAACCTGGTATTATCCACCCATACACATCGATGTGTACATATATGTATGTAGATGTGTGGCAATGCATGTGAGTTCGTGCGTGCTGGTATTCTTTTTTTTTTTTTTTTTGTATTTTTCAAATATTGCACACGCATTGTATAACTGTTGGATGTTGGCCCGGTTTGTCTCTTCGTCTGTCTGTCTGTCTCTCCGCCGTCAGTCTTTCTTATGACGAAGTGACTGGCTGTTTGTCCCATTCCCGCACTTCACACGAAAAGACACCAAACTTATATCCACTATTTGGGGTGGAGGGACGCGGACGGACAGACGGTTGGCAAACGTCATGCCTGGCTGTCTGTCAGTCCGTCCGTCCGCATGTCTTTCAGTCTGCCACAATGGTTATGCTGATGTGTGCGTGCGTTTGTGTCTGCGTAAATTTGGCTCCGCCACTAGTGGTATACATTTTTTTCTATGTGGCGATGATGTCAGAATCAGAATGTAGTTTTCCAATATTTAAATATTCCAATATGCACATTCCACCAAAATAAAAAAATCGGACAAATGCACAGCAACAAAACACACAACAAATAATATTTGTTGTTGTCAGCTACTGCTACACAACATTGACACATGACCGTATTGGCAACAGTGTTGGTTTTCAAGGGCCCCACCGTAATAAAATGAAGCAAATTTTAAACACGAAGGTCCTCCTATTGTGTGCCAATTGTTGAAGTAAGCCAAGAGACATTTGACCTTTCACTAAAGTTTCTTTCTTGAAAAAAAATAAATAAAACACGAATTAAATCGATATTCCAAAATTTAATTTTATTCAAAATCTTAATAAAACTTGCATTTACATACAGCTTCTAATTCCATTTTCTACCATGACTATTTTAAAAATTTGCATATACATACAGTGTCTAATTTCAAATAAAAAAAAAATTGTCTACTACGATGATCCCAATTTGGGTTCTACAAGATAGTTTCGTAATAAAATATAGAAATTCCAAATACTTGAAAAAATAAAAAGAAAGAATTACATCAATATTCCGAAACCTGAATGTTATTCAAAATCTTAATAAAAATTGCATTTACGTACAGCTTCTAATTCGAAAACGTCATAAACATTTCACAATTCACATGACTATTTCAAAAAATTGCATTTACATACAGTTTCTAAATCCAAAACGTCCCAAATATTATTATACAGTAGATATCGGATATAAGCACATCTCATATAAGAAAACATCGCATATAAGAAAGATTATCAAAAACATCGAGCTTATACTTTCGTATATCCGATAATTCCATATAAGAAAAAAAAGCATATAAGAAAGAAATCTCAGGCATTTTTTGAGTTTCTTATATCCGATATCTACTGTATAAATATATTTTCTACCAATATTTTCTAAAATATCATCTACCAAGACGTACAAAAAAAATTGCATTTACATACAGCTTCTAATCGCAAAACGTTCCAAAAAGTATTCAATTAACACATTTTCTACCGCGCCTATTTTACTATTGTCTACAATGATGGTCCAAAAGGGGCATCTAGAAAACAGTTCCATACAGATATTATTATTACATTCCTTACTGATATTAAAGAATCACACCGAATATTCCGGTCACAACTTCTAGAGTTGAGTAATTTCGTCCCTAAAGAGGTTCAATTTTTTCGGTTCGCTCCTCAAGAGATCATTCTTTTAGTTCCATATGTCCACTTAATTCATAAATGGTTCCATTCAAATAGCAAAGATTACGAAAAGAGATAATTCTCTTCTAGAGTTGAGTAATTTCGTCCCTAAAGAGGTTCGATTTTTTTCGGTTCGCTCCTCAAGTGGTCATTCTTTTAGTTCCATATGTCCGATGAATTCTTAAATGTTTCAATTCAAATATCAAAGATTACGAAAAGAGATAATTCTCTTGAATGTCTAAAAAATGCCTTGATCACATCATAATTTCTATTTTAAAAATTTGCATTTACATTCAGCTTCTATATCCAAATTCTACGTCCAAAAAAACGTTCGAAAAAGGCATATTGGGCTATGTGGCTTTACAAATGTCTTATGTTGATAACTTGTATTTATTCCGCCCTGATGCGAAATTTGCATATGCGAATTAAATTCAAATTTGTCAAAGTTCGACGTTTGTCTTCATTCTAGGAACAGCCTTTTTAAAAGCAGATTTTTGTTGTAGCGCTGCAGCTATTATAGAATCTGCAGAATATTCTAGAGTTGGACAATTTCCTTCCTGAAGCAGTATGATATCTTGCGGTTCGCTCCACAAAATGGAACTAGCTCATTCATTTAGTTTCTATTAGTTGAATCGTTCATTGATATGCGTCAGTATATGATCACAGTTTCTACAGTAGGGTAATCTCCCTCCTGAAGAGGTTTGATTTCTTTAGGTATTTCTCATGTAGTTCTATTGTTAGGATTACATCCTAATTCCAAAAATATTCTATACTTCTATGTTCCAAAATGGGCTTGAAAGAAAAAGGTTTTGAATTTCCTCTTCAGATATTGAAGAATTATTTGGAATATTCAGATCACAGTTTCTACATTTGGATATTCTCCTTCCTTCCTTCTTTGAAGAGGTTCAATATCTTTCGGTTCGCTTTGCAAAATAAATAGGTCATTAATTTAGTTCCATAGTTCAATTGTTAAGTAGTGCATATCCGTTAAGCAACGGGAAGATCAAGGTTGACAATTGAATGTCTAGATAACATCCAAATTTTCATTTACATACACCTTCTACAGTCGAATTCGGATAAGCGAACGCCGGTTTATCGAAAAAAAAAACTGTTAATTGAAACTAAAAATTTTAAACTTTTTTCTTTATTTCGCCTAAAAGAAAACCCGGTTAATTGGAAATCTGTATAAGAGAAAGACTGTTCTGGTGTGATGCCAAATGTCCGAACCTTGACACGGTTGGATTTAATTCGTAGATGCAATTTCGCAACAATAGTCGACATAAATACAACTTATCAAGTAAAGACATTTGTAAGCCACATTGCCCAATATGCCTGATGAGCCGCGTAACCAACAGCGAAACGCGACGCATAGTGTTGGGAATGTAGTACCCCTCTGGCTTTCCTTTTCATTGCAACTCCGATCATGAAGCTTATCTCGAAAGAGAAATTAATGAACGATTTTTTTGTTGCAAAAACTCAAATATATATGAAACAAATTAGGCGTTTTCGCTTATCCAAATTCGACTGTATATCCAAAAATATTGTATACCTCTGCGTCCCTAAAAGAGTTCCAAAAAAAATGGTTTGAATTTTCTCTGCAGATATTAAAGAATCACTCAGAAAATGGGATCACAGTTTCCTGAAACGGTTCGATCTTCTTCAGTTCGTTCCGCAAAAAGGAACTAGGTTATTCATTTAGTATCCATTGAAAATATCATAAATAGGTATTTATTGGATTGGAAGAATTTATCTAGTCTCAAAGACGTAGATTTTTAAAGAATTTGAGGCTATAGCCTCAAGGCTTAAATGTGTGGGCTTTAAAAAAAAGTGTCTCGTCTCAAAGCGTAGAATTTAAAGAACTACTTCTTAGCTCGAATAAAGACTCAAAAAATTAGGATTTTAAAGGATTCATTGAAAATTGAAAGGATTGGTTTTTTAAATGACTGCTTTCTACCCTAAATGAAAACTTATAGGCGTTTTCTAGCCTCAATAAAAGGTTGCATTATTAAAGAATTTTCTAGCCTAAATGAAATTTCAAAGGCGTGGATTTTTAAAGAATTTTTGAAGCTTTTTTCTTGCTTCATTAGAGCTAAAATTGTGTGGATTTTCCTATCCTCATTCGAATCATAAAAATCATAGTTTTTAAAGGTTTTTCTTCCTAGATTAATTGAATCTGAAGTGGTGCGAATTTTTTTTAGCATCAATCAAGGTATAAAGGTATAGATTTTTGAATTTTATTTTTCTAGTTTGAAGGGGGTGATTTTTTCTAGTAAAGGTTTTTTTGTTTGTAGTAAAAGCTCTTCAAATTGGATTAATAAATGAATTTTTGATAGCCGCAAAGAAGTGAAGTTTTTTTCAAGTTTTTTTAAGCTCGGAAGGCGTGGATATTTCTAGCCTTAAAGGCTTGATTTTTAAAAGTATTTTTTTCTAATCCTCCTCAAATTTAATTATTAACGAATTTTCATAGCCTGAAAGACATGAAGTTTTAAATGCGCTTTAATAGGCTAGAAGATTTCTCAAAACTATTCTCAATGTCGTGATTTTTTAAAGGAATTTATATACCCTATAAGAAGCCTGAAAATCGTATTTTATAATTGTTTTTTGGCCTCTAAGGAGTGCTTTTTTAAAGGATTTTTAAAGCCGTCAAGAAGTTAATTTTTTATCGTTTTTTTTTTGTGTAAGGAATATCTGATCTGTAGT